TAAATACTGAAGTCCCTGAAGACAAAAGAACTATGCTTCTAGATGCAAATATAGAACTTCTACCTCTGTTTCCCACTTTTGTACTCAAGACTGCAGTAACATCTCCTGCAGTGCCAGCCTGACTCACGGATTTCTGCCTTACCAGTCCCAACCATCACATAAGCCAATTCCTTAAAGTCTCTCTGTATTTCTCTGTATAGAGAGAGACAGATATGTGTGTATGTATGTGTGTGTGTGTGTATGTATAATCATATTTTGAATTTGTCTCTATTAGTACCCTTACTAACACAACCATATAGGCAAATTGAGATTTTTATTTTATCTGTACAAGCCTTCAGTATTTGTCCAGTTCTGTAATCATTTTCTCAAATGGATGACAGTGGATATCTCCTAAACACTGCCCTATTGTACTGTTTAAATAATTAAATGAACTAAAAGAAACCATAAATTGTGTATATGAGGTGTGGTTTTCTTAAATTACATTTGATTGTAACAGCCCCAACTTCTTCCTGTCTTAAGAGAGCTTTTAGGCTGTGGTGGCAAAAGGGAAAACCCAAGTGAAGTCTAGAAGAATCTTTGAGATAAAGAAAGAGAGTTGGGAGCCCTGTGAAGCCAGGGGTAGCTCGATTTTGCAAGAAGGAGTGTTGAATTTAAGAGAGCTGTGTAGACAAAGGACACTGGATCTTGGGGGAGAATCCCCCACAATTGTTCAACAGATGATGGATCAGCACATGCAAAGGAAAGCCACTCAAGGTTAAAGAAAGAATCATCTGGAAAGATTAAAGACAGTGCTCAGAGCTCAGAGGCAGGGAGTGTGCCAATCTGTTACACAGAGAATAAACAAACTCATAATCCAAGGGGCTTTAGGTAGAGTATTCAAAATGATCTCAGCTTCAGTTAGTTATCAAGACTGGCTGGTATTGTGGAAGGGTCAGGAATATATCAATAGAACAGAATAGATAATCCAGAAATACATCCTCACAAAAAAGTCCAACCATTTTCTTCAAGAGGTATAGAGTTTATTCAATGAGAAAAGAATACCAAATATTTGTGGAACAACTGGGAGTCCATATGCAAAAAACGAAAAGAAAAGAAATTAGAATGCTGACTTAAAATTCATACAAAAAATCAACTCATGACAAATCATGACAAATACAAAATGTGAAACTAGATAATTTTAGATGGGAACATTCATCCAAGAGAAATAGAAATGGATGTACCTACAATCACTTTGCACAAAACTGCAGAAGCTTTATTTGTAATAGTTGAAAATTGGAAACAACTCCAATGTCTTTCAATGTTTGTGTGATTGAATAAACTGTATCATTAATACTATGGAATAATAAAAGAACAATAGATAAAACACAATTGATAACACACACAAACACATTGGAACGCAAGAGAATTATGTTGAGTGAAAATAGCTTACTGCAAAAGTGTACAAATGATTTTTCCTTTATAAAAACATACTTCAAACAATAAAATCATTGTGATGAAAAATAGATTAGTGGTTGGCAGGGGTCAAGGACACTATAATGAGAGAAGGAAAGCGGG